AACCTCACTTGAGCTTGGTGGTGTGAGCTTGGACTCAGTCAATTTGCTCATTATTTTCCCTACAACGAGCAATCACACATATGCTTTGATACCATATGTTGAAAATTTGTGCTCCAATCTTGTGATTTCCGGGCTCAGCTAACCAATCAATCAAATACCACAAACAACCAATCGAATCCACAAACCAACAACACCTTCCCAAACACACTTGGTTGCTCCAATCTCCACAGCCCACTAAGGACTAAGGGTGGAAAGGTTACAGCCAAAGACAACAGCTACAAAGGCTAGGCAGAGAAGAAGAAGGAACGGGTCTTGCAAGAAGAAAAGCACACAGCTCAAGTAATTGCACAAAGCAAAGGCAAGAAAACCGGTTTCTCTCTTTCACCAGAAAAGGGGGACGGCTGTAGCTCCTTCACACACTAACAATAGTAATGGTCAACTAAATAAATAGGTTAGCAATAGGTTTAAGGCTTTAGGTCAAACAACAGGCCCAATAACAAAGGAGATAAGTGGGCTATCAATCTTAAAGTCTTCCAAGTATTTGGGTTGGGCCATGAGCAACACTAATATAATTAGGTTGCTACAAATGGCCCAAATGGGTTACGTGATTCGATTGGTTCGATTGTGGTGTCAATAGCATTATTCGTCCAAAATAGTACATGTCTAAGGCAGTGCTCAGGTGTCGAGGTCATTGGACGTTCAAATTAATTGGATTTGAGAGAAAAATTAAATAGAGTAATTAAATTTGTTCCATGACTGACTTACAATTACATAATTTCTTGTCAAACTCCCGGTCTTTGGTTATTCTTGCCTTGTATTTTGTTGCTATACCTCACATGTTAGATCTTATTTTCCCCTTATAGTGCATACTTGTTTAATTTAACTTATAGAGCGCTTAGGTGATTTTTTTTTTTTATTATGATTGTAAACTGTTTATAAACAGTCAATTCATTTTTTATTCATACATGTCGAGAGACTTACACAATTACACGTATTACCCATTTATTTACTATTCGTTTATAATTTAAAATGATTGTAAATGCTTCCCTAATATGCTCTAAGTTGAGAAAATCTTCATTTGTATTATCGCACATGCCATTCTAAAAAATTCTTATTTTCTATCCTTCTTTCTCACTTCATGAGTTGTCATATTGAGACAAATTTTTGTCGACATTTTCTTTCTTTCTATCAATTCTTTGTTGACATGTCCTTCCTTTGAGCCAATTACGGCACATGCCATTCACAAGGATTCTTATGGTAACATTTATTTTCAGCATAACTACATGAAAAGTATCAAAATTTGTTGTCGAGGGAATCATAGAAACATTTGTTGGACCATCCGAAGTCAAATCAGACTATACACTTATCCAAACACAGTGGAGCCCACAAGAAATTTTTGTAATGGTTTTATTTTGGGTGTACCATGTATATTTTAGATTGGCATAATATTCCTACTACACAAAGGATTATACGAGGGTATACTTTCGATTCAAACATTAAATCCTTATGTTATGACATGGATTCATTTGTTTATATTTTCATAGTCGACTAGTCCCAATCTTGAATAAAAGACAAGGATTGCAATAATCAATAGTTAGTGCAAAATTTTGTCATATTTTATGACATGCATCTTATACGAATAATTATGAACTCCACATACTTTTTCATAGTTGGCCCCATTCTCGAATAAAAGGTTTGATAAGTTAACCTTGAGGGGTTGTTCAATTGGTCAGACATTGAGTTTGCTCCTCAATGGTCACCAGTTCGAGTCCCCTCAGAGTTATTGAGGTGAGTATCCAACCGTACATTTCAGGGCCTTGTAAAATTAGTAGAGGTGCGCGCAAGCTGACCCGAACATCCACGGTTATAAAAAAAAAAAAAAGGTTCGATACGTTATAGAACTTCATCACACCTTATAACATGAATCCTTACTGCACATTTATTTTCATAGCCAGTCGCAAATTCGAATAACTTTAACGATTGTGACACGTAAACAACTAGAGTAAAACTTTATAGTATACTATAATAAGATCAATCCCTTGTTGGTACTTTTCATCCATTTATAGAAGAGAAAACCTCTAAACATACACTAATTGGTAGTTCAAGTGGGAATCTTTTCATATCTAATCATCTACCCATTATTTTTTCAAGAAAGCAATATCTTAACCAACCAATTGGCCTACTGACCTTTTCTTGAAGTTGATTATTTAATCTCTTTTCTACTTATGCTGACCCAGGTTTAGTGGTTAAGTTTTCTATTCAATCAATTTAGATTATTGTGTATTAGCAGGCTTGCAACTTCTGTTGTTTTCCACTGGGCAAAGTTTATTCAAGTTGATTCCAAAGCAAAAGAGCCAACTGGCTACCTTTAAATTATTTTTCTAGAGCATGTTTAATACACATTATTAAATTGTACTAAAATAAGAGGATATGTCGATCGGGGTAGAAAACGGAAAATTCTGTTTGACCCGATATATATTGTGCATAATCTTGAATGTTATTTCTTTAGGTGAACACTATAATTTTATTTTGGTTATACAATTCACATACCATGTAATCCTAATAATCGAACAATTACACGAAATTTAGAATGCATGACCGAAAATATTAAAGTTCTCACAACTTTTATTGCACCTTATGTACTGTCTTAGATCGTAGTTCAGTAATATCTAATCCACTGTCACTATAGAAAAGCAATGGAAAGAGATAATATTTGCTTAAACAATCTAGAGAGTAGAGATTATGTAATCCTGATAATCGAATAAATACACGAAGTTTAAAACTTACGATAAAAAATATGTTCAATTTTTCAATAAAATGAATCAAGAACCATTAGAAATGTGAAGATGAAAAAATGGAAATCCAGGCTAAGGAACATAAGAATTTTCAAGTTCTGGTTGAGTCCTGATACCTGAAGCTGAAGGCATTCTACTTCTCCCAATCCAAATAGTATCCAAAACCTCATTTCTTTCAGATTGTCTCTCCATTTTCTTGATTTTTTCCCCTTTAGTCAATTTGTATACCACTATCATAACCACAAGAAGCAAGATCAATCCCACAATTCCTCCTGCAAATCCAATCACCCACCACTTCCAAACGCGCTCTTTCGTCTTTTCATCAGATAGTCGAGATGGAACGACAATAGAGAAATGCCCGTGTCCACGCGCCATACATGAATTATTCCTGGTAACGTTGCTTAATTCCACCATGCCATTAGTACTAAACCGAACACATTTCATCCCCACACTCAACGAAACATTAGGAAAACGAACGACAATCGGATTATCCCCCATGAGATTAAGCTCAATCAGTTCATTATGTGGTGAACTAGTACTCGAATCATAAGCCAACAATCCGACCACAGGAGCAACAAAAGTATAATTCGACACGTTATAATACAAAGTCGACCAATTACCTAGATTTTGATAGACTAAAACAACTCTCCTAGAAAATGGCCATGGCAAAATCCTTGTTGGGATATCAAAAAAACTGAAATTAGCGCCCTTCATCCATAAACTGCGGGTTCTCATGCGGAGAATCGAAACTTCCATACCCGAATAATTCAAAGGAAGTGAAATATCATACAATTTTCCAGTACGAGACCTTGAAATTTTCTTGAATGCATAATCATAAACAAAAGAATTCAATGAATCCCTGCTATAAACTTTTGATCCTTGAACATTTTGCAATAAACAAGAACAGCAAAACAATATCATTAAAATGATATCCCAAATTCTTTGAGAACCCATCAAACACTTACAGTATTGCCTCTTCTGCCTTTCATTCGACCTTGAAAATCTCTTACATTAAGATCTGATTTTCAAAACTGTTTGATATTTGGACTTGATCTTCTCAGAAAAAACAAAACCCTTCAGTGATTAATCTAGCAATGCCACGGGGTTGAATGACAGTGTTTCCTAATTATTATGCAAACTCATGAATTGGGATATCATTAAAAAGAGATTGCAGCAATGAATGATTCAAAATTTACACGATTTTGCCGTTGTGATCCCATTGGCGTTGCCTAGAATTTGAAGGGATATGATTAGAGAATGCAAAAATGGATATATAATATATTTGGTCATGGGCAGGCGGGGTGCTTCGGTGGTTGTACAATATATTCTATAAGAAGACAGGGCGCCACCTTAACGTGGCACAAGGAACCCTTCTGAGTTGTACTAAGTTTGTTTAATCACATATAGCCTATGTTGGATGTTGTTGAAATATATAAATATATATATACACACACGCGTGTAAACAACACAGTACGAAAATGCTGAGCAAATTCTTAGTTGCAATTTAAATTCTTGAAAAATTGCCATGGAAAAAGGCTCATCCAATCATAATTATGTGGACATATGTATGTATGTATGTATGTATGTATGTGTGTTAGTGTGCAAGTATGTGCATGTGCGCGCGCGTGTGTGTACATAACATAATATGATAAGACTAAGCAAATCTTGAGTTACAATTTAGATTCTTAAGTAAATGCCATAAAAGTAGGCTCGTCAATAGGCAGAGTTTAAACTCTAACCTCACTATGGTCTTTGGACTTTGTGATTGGTTAGGGATAGTGTTTGATAAATCTAGACACGGTCTTGCTCAATCTGATTAGTGATTAGGATAGAAAGAGTTGAGTTGAGTGTAGATCCGATTCATTAAAACGTGTCCAATATTTTATGTTCCGTTAGTTGTTTTAGTTTTCTTATTCTTACGCGAAAAGCACTTGATTCATAGATTTTTGTTTTAAAATGAACGTGTGCTAGCTGAAGGTAAAGTTTGAAGTGGAATACTTTATCGCGAACTCATATGCCTGTTCCAATGGTTGATTATAGAATCGAGCGTAAGATTGCGTGGCAAAAGGAAATGTTCTATTCTCATTTTATGTAAAAAGAAAAAAAAAAATTGGGCTGACCCTCTTCAAATTCAATAGATTTGGTAACTTTACATATTTTTGAATTTATTTGAAGAGAAAACAATAACAAAAAACATCATGCCCACTGGTTACAGGTCTACTTCCAAGAGTAGAGAAATAGACCTATCAACAACCCCTAATGTTTCATTAAACAAGTAAAACATAGTATTCTTAAATTAAAATATTTCTCTCTTTTATATTTGTTTTCACTATGGAGGAATTGTTGACAAGCCTTCTTGTCATTTTGTAGTTAATTTATATAAAATTGGATGTTCCAAATGGAAGTCATGTAATTAGCATTTATGTAATGTTTTGTCCACTTGACATGTGGAGGTTATTATTGAGCTTGTTCGTGTGTAATATTTATTCATACTCGATTTTCTTTTATCTAAAGAATTTGTTGTTACATATTTTTTCAAGAAACAGTGCAAAGAGCCACTATGCTAGAACGCATTAGGCCCGTAAGTCTATTGTATCTATGACACATCAAATTGAAGGTTGTAAAGAAGCCATGAGAAAATGAATTGAGCCCATCTACTCGATTGATATTTTTGTGTGACTTTCGATAAAATTTGTATCATGTGCCGGGACAAAATATAGGGCTACCAATATGTAATTTTGTTAAATGCTGACTAGAAATAGTGGTAAAGTAATGATTCGATCGTTTTACGTATAATATAATATGACGCAAAATTTTCAACAACTCTCTTCTTTCTCTATTGAAATTCTCGACGTACTATCATCCCAAGTAACTTAGACTAATCTTCTAATAGCGACCTTTCCAAATCAAAGAGTAAAAGTAACCCCTAGAAAGGACTTGTGATCTGTAGTTCTAATCATCTAAGAAAGTTGACTACGACAAATACATATGATAATCTTTAGTAAAAGGGTCCTTCAAAAATGTTAGAAATTACAATGAAGAAAAAAATCTTTAGAATTTTGTCTAAAATATTTATTTTTAATTTGATTGTATGCAGAATGTCAAGAACATATTTAAAAGGGTATGTCTTATAGAGTTTTGTCTAAAATATTTAATTTCTATGTTTTGGTGTGTATAGCTCTTAAGTGTTCAAGATTAACACTCATCATCTACATATCTACTCGATTAATTTGACACCATAAATAAATATTTGAACATTTGATGTGCATCCAATTAGGTGATTAACACTCATCACCTAATTGTTTTCTAAAATTGATAAAATTTGAATAGTCCAACATATTTTTGAAATGGTCAAAACCCTGTGCAAATCTCTAGAACCGATTAAGCAAAGGCCAATTTTCTTGTGATTGAACCAAGTTTTATTCAAAAACTTTTCAATAAATTTTTTTTTGATAACCGTGGATGTCCGGGCTAGCTTACGCCCATCTCGACTAATCTCACGGAGCTCTGAAGTTTACGGCCGGTCAATAATTAGGTCAAGTTGACAACTTTGCTTGAATGTGTTGGGAAAAAGGGGAAATCGAGAGAAAGTATATTACAAGGATACAATCAACCAATCAGGAGTATCCAAATTTCATCAAGTCACGCAATGAAATAATTTAGGTTCATGTGTCCTATGATCATATTAGGTTAACAACTTTCTTGAACGTGGGGGTGTAAAGTGGGCGAGTCAAGCATCTTGACTCGTCTATTCCTGGGCTCAACTTGGCTAGCCTGGCTAACTGGCTCATCTCATGAAAGTTGGGCTCCAAGGGGTGAATTGAGTCGGTTTACGAGTTGTTTGCAGTTTGTTTCTCTTTTTTTTTTTTAGTCGAAAATTACATTTTGTAGCTAACAATACGAGCCGTTCACAAGCTGGCAAGCGGCTCGCATGAGTGATTCGTTGTTCCGCTTGCCCCAATTGCTACATATAGGGAATATGGTTAATCAAAGATAGATATCAACATATTGAAAAGTACTAATGTGTTGATAGACTGCAATTCCTGGTATAGTTTCAATCTTAACAATTACGCCTACAATAAAGCGTGAAGTAAAAAATTATTTACTTTAATTTTGATGTTGATTTGGTGCAAACAGTAGATTTTCTTTAACAAATATCCGTATCCTCAAATTAATTTTCATAATAATTTTATATGTTATAAAATAAAATGCGAGACGTATATAAATAATCACGAAACAAATTACGCAACAACTATAAATCATTGCACAAATGCTAATGCAATAAACTTTTTGTGTTGCGAAATAAATTTAATTACAAACACTGCTTGTTACATAATGAATTCTACTACAAATATTGAATATTTTAAAATATATTATGCAACATATCAAACACATTGTAAACTAAATTTTGCGATAGACATGACTTGTTATTAAAGATATATTACTACAAGCTAGTATTGTTTTAAAATAGAAAAGGTAACCCTTAAAATAGTATTTGCAACAAACATTTTTCTTACAGAAAATTTATTGGATTAATCATTTTGTTGCCCTTTAATTTTTTTTGCGACATAAGTGTTGCGACAACATTATGATGACAAATATCTTGTTGCTATTTTGTCCTTTTTGCGTCAATTGAATAGTATAGCTAATTTGATAATGCGATGAGCGATCGAAAATTGTCGCAAAATACATTCCATGACTTATATAGCGCGACAATGCATGCAATAAATATATTGCTGTCGCAAAATTATTTTTGCAACAAAATCTCTATTTATGTGATAACTTTTTTTTTGTTGCAATTTGGATATTATTTTTTTGGAGTGCCTAGGGTGCGAGTTGAATCAATTCAACTCGTTAGTGAGGGGAGCTGAGCTTGCAAGCGGGTGGCTCCACTTGATACCCTTGCTTGAATGTGTTGGAAAGGGCGAGACATAGTTCAGTGGTGCAAATGACATGAGTAAGGTAGTCTCAATTGAGCTGGCAGTCGCAGTGTGAGATTTCGATTCCTACCTCTTACAGGGTATGAAATTTGATTCTTTGTGGGTATCAGTATGGTAGCTCTTGTACTCTGACATGTTGAGGCATATCTCGCAATTTACCTCCTTCACAATGCTTTATGTGTGAGACGATGAGGGGCCATAATGCTTTAGGGGTGAGACGATGAGGGGCCCTCAAGGTTGGGATTGATCCCTTTTTTTTATATTTGTATGTGTTGGAAAGGAAATTGGGGAAGTCAGGACAAAGTAGATTATGAGGATAGAAAATTATCCAATCAAGAATCTGCAAATTTCCACGTGTCACGCTATGAAATCATATGGGTCCTGTATCCGGGAAAGGCAGAAATCATTGTGGATAACAAGAACTTGCGAAGAAAATCTTTGCACCAAATGGGATTTTTGCATCAAAAGAGATAGATAGAAAAAGAGAGGCTAAGCAAAAAAGAGAGGCGTTTCTTTGGTCATCAGCCATCAAATGGCAGCGGCAGCTTCCACTTCCATGGCGGCGACAGCCGTCTTGCTCCATCGACTTCCCACCAAAAGCACGGTCCACTGCTCCACCTTGCCGTGCCTGCCACCCCCTTTCTCCAATTCAGCTTTCTCCACTTCCTTCAAGCCCTTTTCAGGTAAAGTTCAACTATTTCTTTATGTATTCTCTTCGTGTTAATAGCTCCGGGTTTTTTTTTTGTTCCATAGTGCTGGGATATTTTAATGTATACTTTTCAATTGGGGTCGTATTCTATTGTTTCGATTCTACTATATATGTCTTTTTAATTCTGTCCAAACCGAAACTTTTTCTCGTACTAATTTGTCTATGTGTGAAATCTTCTAAATAAAGATGGTTGATCCCAATTGATTTCTTGAATACTGGATTTTGATCCTTAAGTTTTACGTAGTAAGTTGAAGCATTGATTCTATTGTTTTGATTCATGAACTTTTACATTGTTTCTTGGTTAGGTAGAAACATTCTTGATAAATATGTCATATAAGTATTAGCGAGAACTAATAATCTAAACCAATAGTTCTTTATGATTGACGAGTTTTCGCATTTTTGTGATGGAGGGATTTTGGATTTTTAGGGGGCTTCTAATAAAATCTTGGACTCGTTACAATTGTACTTAAATCTGGGTGTCCAAATACCACATTGCATAGGTTCTAAAATTGTGTTACATTCCGCATAGCCTTATCACTTAGGTTTCGACTATTTGGGAATATCTTAAAAGATGAATTAGAAGTAATTGTTATTGTTTCTTTATTATATTCAGTGGTTTTTATCCCTGTCAATGTTATGTCCTGCATAATCCTCTTTTCTTGTGCATACTTGATAAACCAGCATTTATAATTGTAATACTTTCAGTGGTATAGAAATGGCTGATATGTTATTGTATGGACTTCAGCATTTGAAACCAATAAGACAAGTCTTCGATAATTATAAGGAGCAACGTGGGAATTAACCTTCTTAGATTCTTCTTTATTCTTAAGAACGGGATGAAATTGCCAAAGGCCTTGAAGTTTTCTTTTTTGAGAGCTACATACGACAAGATAGTTTTCATATAATTCTTCTTGATACTGTTAATTCAAAAATGAATGATACTCACTGACATCGAGAGAATGAAGACAATGATCAGGATTCAGTTATTTTGTTATGAATTATAATAATTGGCTATTTCTGATAGAGTTTTCCTTGGCGTACAAATAATAATATGTAATTTTGATCAGAGAAATTGAAACTTCAAACTCTATTCTATTGCTTGATCACATATCGATGTTGATTCGATTGTCCAATGATAATTCCCTAGTTGAAAGTTTCATGTGCCTTGAGTACGAATTTTGATGCTTGTTTAGGTGATTGTATACTGAGAGTTTCTCTAAACACCACTTTACTCTCTGATTCCGCGCAAGCAGAGTGAAATTATTTCCTAAAAATGGATGCAAATGTTTCTGTATCATGCTCCTTTCCATTATCCCTTTGATTAAGCTTTTGACTGAATGTCAAGTGTTTAATGTTCAAATCACATACTTCCATTTGCAAAGGTCGTGTTATGCTTGCTCTCTACATAGGCTTTTCAATTCTTGATATTTCTGTGGTTATGTAACTTAGTTTTATTTTTAAACAGAGTCGAGGAGGTCTTCTTGTCTCCAGGTCAAAGCCTCATCTTCAGACGAGACATCTGCAGTTGATGCTAGTGAATTACTAACAGACCTAAAAGAAAAGGTACATAATGTCATCTTTGCAAAAACTGTTTTCGGTTCCGAAATTTGTACTACTGAATTATTCTCAAATTTATATTCCTGTTGTTTGATGACTCATCTCTTCGCATTGCTTTTTGAAGTGGGATGCTGTTGAAAACAAGTCTACAGTACTTCTTTATGGAGGAGGGGCAATCGTGGCAACTTGGTTAGCTTCCATTGTTGTTGGCGCAGTTAACTCGGTCCCTTTGGTGGGTTCTTCTCATATGTTACCATTTTAACTAACAAAGTGATTACATTTCGTATCTGAGCAAAATTCTGTTAATAATCCGAGGTCTCATAATGTCCGTTAAAATTTATTTCAGCTTCCGAAGATCTTGGAGTTGGTTGGTCTCGGATACACTGGATGGTTTGTGTACCGTTACCTTCTTTTCAAGGTATGATTTCTCCATTTTTGTAAACTATAATACATAAAAAAAAAAAACCAGTTAATGTTAGCGGCCATAAACCTACTGCAAACTCATTGGCTTCCATAAAATACAAAATAAAAACAGATCTCTCTCTCTCTCTCTCTCGTCTCTCTCGTGTGTATCTCAAACTTGATTCTAATATAGTGTATGTTGGGCTAAGCCTAAAAAAAGTGAAAGTGCATAAAAAGTAAGTGAAGACTTCGCTTTTAAAGAATCTAGTTCTTCAACTAAAACTCCCAAAGAACTTCTGAAAAACCTCAAACATGTTTGGCTAAAAAAGTTATATAAAATTAACTTCAATCTTTTTTAGGCTTAGAGCACGTTCGGATCAGCTTAAAATTTCAGTACACCCTAGTATCAATTTCCTTCCTCGCCTCCACCTCACCCCAGCTCTGTGTCCCCCCTGCCCTGTCTCTGCTCGCCTTGCCCTGCCCTTATTTGTTTCACCTCTCCTGTCCCCCGTCACCCATCCCCTCATTGTTGCCTTAACCAGGAGCTGTGAGTAGCTCTCCTGGCCCTGAGTAAGAAGGGGAAGGAGGGAGTGGAGGACGATAAAAGTAACTTTTTAAAGTAAAAAGAAGGGCTTTCCAGACTAAATTTGACTATTGGATATATTTCGCCTTGACCATTATAAAAAGGATCTTTTGAAAAATTCACAATTGTGAGTTTCCGTTGTCCACAGAATTTCTTATTGCTAACATACATTTTCATTTCTAATTTTGGCACACCATTTCCACGTGGATATTCATTCTTATTTCTGTAAACGCCTCTCTTCATTTGGAAAATAAATCCCATGATTTGGAAAAATGCATAGATTTCTGATACTAATTCGACGTATTTTATTCTTGCAGTCAAGTAGAAAAGAACTGGCAGAAGACATTGAAGGGTTGAAGAAGAAGATTGCTGGAACTGAGTGAATGTATGCTATCTGGTGCCAAATTCATCGTATAATCATCATTCCAACGTCGGATCAAACTGGTTTACATATCTGTATAAGAGGCTTGTGTTGTTGTGATGATGTGTAGGTCTATGTGTTTCTAATGCACTTGATTTTGTTTATATTCGAATAAACATTGTAAGTTATTCACGTGTATCGTGTAACTTT